TGTTAGCGTGAAAGATAATTGCCCTGCAGGCATTCACAGGCTGCTTTGGAGCAGAGAGGCGTTTTTGTAGAAAGCGGAGACCAGTTAGTCAGGTACAGTGGCCTGTAAGTTGCTTATTGCTGCCTCCCCAAAGATCTAAAACTTCTAGGTATCACAAAAAATGGAATGGCATAAGACTTGGAAATGAAGAAGTATGTTTGTTTTAAATAGTTCCTGTAAATAAATGAGTTGTATTGCTGTGGGTAAAGCTCTGTGGTCCCTGCCATCTGTATGTAGGAAAATAGGTGGTGAGCCTCTTGCCAGAGTTTAGCAGGCACACTGCTGAAGAAGAGACTGCTTCCCAGAGAAGGTCATGAGCTATCAGATGGGGATCCTGCTTTTGAGGGTTGGCTCTCCGCCAGCCAGGCGTCTTGCTCAAGCCTTCTGCCTCTTATCCCATTCTCACCTGACCTCAGACCCATGGCTGTGTGTATGAATGTTTCTTTTGAAAACAGCTGCTGCATAAATTATTTGACAGAATTTTGGCATCAAGCATTTTATGCACCATCATTTTCCGAAGAAAGCTTTCTTTGTCATCTTTCAACAATTGCTTTATTTGTTGGCTTCTGTGACAGAACTGGAAGCATGGATAATACTGAATTAAAAATCCTGACTGCCTTGTAGTGAAATGAATTGAGACCATGGTTCTTCATTTCGAGAGAATTCTTGAAGTTCTGCATGATTTTCTGTTTGTTTGTGATGGGGAGCCTGCTGATAATTTGGTGGTTTGGTCCGGAGTCCAGATTACTGCATGTGCTGTGAAGGTCTGGAGGGCTGGAGTGTTATAGCAGTAGGGACTCTGCAGAGTCACAACGCTGCTGATCCTGACTTGGAAGAGGCACCTTTGGGAGCTGAAATGTCGAAGTGATGAGCCTTTATGCCTAGTGGGTCACAAGGCGGTTTCAGAATGCAGGAAGCGATAGGGATAGTGTTCCCAGTGCCAGTTGACTGGTGTTTTTTATTCTTCTGTTTGCAATGCCATTTCACAGGGGTGTTAAGATAAAAGTAAGTATAAATAATTAATAGTTTCAAAGATAAAGATGTAGCAAAACTGATATGGTTGCATCCACTAAATATAAATTTACTGGAAACACATAAGTAGCAGAAATGAACTCCCACTCCAGTAATGATAGTGGAGATGTGCAGTATTTTGCCTGGCAGTGATTTTTGGTTTCTTTTGGCCAAATATTTTCATTATATTTATTTTGGTTTTAATGTTAGCTGGTGCCAATAATTGTGAAAGATAGGGTGTTATTTTTTCCTGTTCAGTGCTTATTTGATTTCAATTTTTGCAGCTTTAAGAACTGTGAACTTCTTGATTTTTATGTACATCTAATACTTAGTTGCAGTGCTTTTGTGTGAGTATACTGTTTTGAAATTGCTTAACATTTTGAGTATGAAAGCATATAGACACAGGCTATTTTTGCATTATATATAAAATGAAACAATGGTCCATGAATTTAAGTTGTAGACCATATCAGTTGTGTTTGATTTTTTTTTTTTCCCCCGACTATATGGCACAAGGTCTTTGTCATCTGAAATAGAAACAAGTTCAGCATAGTTGACTCTAAATTTATGATATCGCTTTATTTTTTTTAAAAGGAATGATAGATTTTTTTTTTTACTCTAGTAAAAGATATTACAGCAAAAACTTCAATAAAAAATGTCTGGGGTATTATTTGTTTTGCGTAGATTTTTTTCCATTTCTTATGTACTGTGATAATTTATCAGGCCCACAAGATCTGTGGGGTTGGCAGTGGTGCTTCATTTTTATTGAGTTTTGCACAAGAGGATTCTTAGTTTTAGCTTTGTTTTATTGCGTGCAAATGATAAATGTTAATTCTGTAAACTCATTTAAATTACGTGTCTACCAATTGTTATTTTATGAATTGTGCTGTAAAACGTTATAGTCATGATTCTGATTTTAAAAATTAGCTTAAGGTTTTAAAATATGTTTTAAAATATGTAATTTAAGGTTGCTTGATCACAGAATGGTAGGGGTTGGAAGGGACCTCTGGATCATCTAGCCCAAACCCCCTGCCGAAGCAGGGTCACCTACAGCAGGCTGCACAGGACCTTGTCCAGGCAGGTCTTGAATATCTCCACAGAAGGAGACTCCACAACCTCCCTGGGCAACCTGTTCCAGTGCTCCGTCACCCTCAGAGGGAAGAAGTTCTTCCTCATGTTCAGACGGAACTTCCTGTGCTTCATTTTATGCCCGTTGCCCCTTGTCCTGTCGCTGGGCACCACTGAAAAGTGTCTGGCCCCATCCTCCTGACACCCACCCTGCAGACATTTGTAAGCATATATTAGGTCCCCTCGCAGCCTTCTCTTCTTCAGGCTAAACAAGCCCAGTTCCCTCAGCCTCTCCTCGTAGGAGAGATGCTCCAGTCCCCTCACCATCCTCGTAGCCCTCTGCTGGACTCTCTCCAGTAGCTCCTCATCTTTCTTGAACTGGGGAGCCCAGAACTGGACACAGTACTCCAGATGGG